GGGGTGAGGCCATGAGGGGGGCACTCGGCCCTTCGCAGGAGGCTCCAGTCCTCCCCTCGTCGCTCCCCCGCCAGCATTTCGGGGCTGTGCGCTGGGTAATGGAGGGAGGGACGCGCTGCGTGGGGAAAGGGGCGGATGGTGCTGCCTTGCTCTGGGGGATGTTCAGTCCCGGGAAGTTCTCCGTAGGCTGTGTGGGACCCCCTCTTCCCGCCGTCCGTGGGCACTGTCCCCTCTGGTCATCAGAGAGTTAAGTGATGGCTCAAAAGACGCGTTCGTAAGCAGCCCCAGTGGCCTAATGGATAAGGCACTGGCCTCCTAAGCCAGGGATTGTGGGTTCGAGTCCCATCTGGGGTGACTCTTTTCTACTTCGGGGAACCGGCTTGGGCGTGCTCCCTGCTGCGGTTAGGGGTGATTCTCCCCTTTCTTGGGCATCCCGTGCCCTGGCTCAGGCGGTCTGATGTGGATTAAGAACGGGATTTCTTGGTGTAAGAACAGACATGCTCTTGGCATATGTGTTTAATCTGTGAAGCATCTGTCTCCTCCAAACTCTGGTGTTGTGTGCTGGTGTTCACGAAAATTTTGCAAATGTTACTGTAAAATCTGGGGAGGTAGCAGCAGGTGAGGTCTGGTCTCAGCAGAAGCTCCTGCTGTCCCAGCCGAGGTTTGCATGATGACTTTCAGTGTCAGAAATGCACCCAAAGCAGTGACACACCATTTACTTGTCAGGGTCAGGGCACAGCATGGAGCTGCAGACACCTCCCTTCATGCAGAAAAGCTCTAGACAGGAGAAAAGTCGATTGTCTTTGCTCCCTTCACTGGGCAGGGCACACACAGGTGGAGGTGGCCAGCTTGGGGCAGGGTTTGCTGTAGGGATGCTGTAATGTGCTGGTATGCTCCTGCACCCCCAGTTTTAGGGTTTTGTAGATGTAAATGTTGAACTGTGTAAGGGCAGAACTCAAAAGTCCCTCTCCAAAGGAGACCAGGCACCAGATATATGAGAGGTGCAAGTGTCAAGAGCTATGGCTTGTGCACCTTGCTGTGCCCCAATTAACCTCCAGGGACCAGCTGAAGGCACTTTCCCCTCTTATTTGGTTCATGCCTAAAACAGAACAATCACTTCTCACCCCAGGTGGGACTCGAACCCACAATCCCTGACTTAGAAGGCCAGTGCCTTATCCATTAGGCCACTGGGGCCCTCTAAAAAGGTAAAAAAAGCGTAATTCTGGTAGGTTTGAGACTCCCCATCAGTGAGCTGATCAGGCACTGGTGAAATCCACCACAGAATTTCATTTGCCTTAAACAGGGCCCACTGAGGGGCGATCCTTGAAGCCTGTAGGACACAGTCTGAGGTTTTTTAGTGTCTCACCTCAAGGGCCAGAGCCTCCTGTACTTACAGAGCAGTTTCAGTCTTTCAGCGTTGACAGAGCAACTGCCTCCAGCAAAGTTCCTGCCTTGGCTTTTTTTTTCTTTAGTAACATACACATCATCTTGTTATGAAAAAAATCAACTAAAACGGAAGGAAAGTGCTTGAAATAGTGAATACTCTATTGGTTACTTAAATACGTAGTTAAGACTGCTTTTACTCCTCCCTTTTTCTCCAAAAACCTACTGCTACTTCTGCGTTCAGCCGCAGAGGGTGCTCTCACAGAGCCGAGGGCTGGATGAAGGGGACAAAGCAAAAACTAGCCGACAAAAATCTGAACGTGTAGTTTCTCTCAAACAGGAACAATAATTTTTCTGCAAAATGAATGACAGGCTGTCACAGTGTATCAAGTATTTTTATTTACACTTTTAGATTATTTTTATTCAATATAGCTCATGAGTTTAGCATAAATTACAGCTGCCAATGTAATTTCTTTAAAAAGACTCGATTCCATGGGCTTTGATCTCTGCTGTTCTCAGTCAAAGTCTGCCTTCCTGCTCTGTTTTATATTTGAGTGAATCCTCTTCTGTCGTAGTCGTTCACGGTTCATTTTTTCCACCCTAAAGCAAAATGAAAAGATCCTTTAATGTACAAAGAAAACATTTAAATAGTCAACTTTGAGCACAGTTATAAAGTAGATTCGATGAGCTGACAAATGCCCACAGACAAAAGAAACCAGTCCCAGTTCTTGGGATGCTCCCCAGGAAGACAGTTAAGATCTAATGCATCCGCAATTTTTTAAAAAAGGAAATCCAAATGAGTATGAAGGTCGTTTAAAGAGGCTGCAAACTAAATCATGGAACTGACAATCTGCACCCATCTCAAATAAAGGCCATTTCAATAGATACCTCTCTATGAGTTTCTGTGAGGTCTCCTTAGACACCACCTTGGGCTTCACAGTAGCCTCCGTGACCATGGTTCTGATTTTTTCTAAACAGATTGCCAGGTTCCTCATTTGGTAGCGAGACTGTTCAGAGTTCACAATCAGCTCACCCTCTCGGTTTATCTTATTCCTGTGCTAGAGAGGGGAAAATGTGAAGTGATCACTGCAGCCTCGTCAGACTTGTCACATTCTGATAAAGTGTGCAATTTAAACCATGGCTGGAAGGGGGAAGGCAGTTACCAAAGATGCCATTTTTTGTCTTGTATCTTCTGGGATCCAGTCTGCTGATGCCAGGTGAAACCGAACTTCTGCCTTGGAATTCACTGGCAGGAAAAACAGGATTTTTTTTAATGTAAGGGCTTACCTCTCTCAGGTTTACGAGATAATTCAGTCTGTTCAGTTCTGGCTTTGAACACAGAAAGACTCCAGTATTCATTTCCTGAAAGATCACAGGTTTTTTTCTTGCTATATTTTTCCATGCCTCTCTACAAAACGAACTCTAACTTTTTAATGGAGACTCTGTCATGGTATTTACCGCTTCTAGACACTACAAGATTCATTGCTATTGCCAGTCACTACCTACCTTATTTGTAATGGCAATAGCAGAACAGGAAGGATTTTAAGTTTATTTGAATTAAGCTGAGAATTTATTGCACTGTGCAAGTTTCAGAATTCAGTTGGCTTGTTGTATGTTTGATTAATGAGAACTGAACAGAAGTGGTTGTCTGCGTGACATGGGTAGCAGCAATGATCCCAGTAAAAGTGTTTGTAGGACAATCCAATATGGTACCACTGGTTTTGAGCACTGTGAGGTTGTGTTAAAACACAAGATAATGATAATGAAAAGTCAGCACTAGGCAGCACAAAGGTGCTCTTTAATTTTTAAGCTCCTCCACCTCAAAGCATAAAGCAGCAACTTAAAGATGAGGATTTTTCCTTCAAAGCCTTTCTCACCTTTATTAACGTTCTGCCCCCCAGGGCCGCTGCTCCGGCTGTAGGACACGGTCAGGCGAGCTGGAAATGAACAGCAGGACCGAGTTGAGCCCCAGGCCTGGCTGGGTCCGCAGTGGGCAGCAGGGAACGGAGACGACTCCGGCTGCACTGCAGGTCTGGAGGACGCCTGTGCCTCGGCGGTGCCTCCGCGCAGCCAGTCCAGGGCAGGCCCCACCGAGCACCGGGACCCGGATCCATTTTGTGGGGAGAC